CACAGGGCATGTGGTTCAGATTATGACTCAAAAAATTTTTTTGAAAATGAGAGTGGTTCGAGAAAATCTAATGAAATCTGATTTTTTGGTGCTGAACCGAATTTCTGAACAGTTGAAATTATTGAATTTTTTAAATTCTTCCGGCCTAACAATTATCATTCTGCCTTGGAAGATCAGACTGCTGCTTTATCTGTGTTTATAGCAAAGGGACGAAACGTAAACTGTTTGCCTTATGTGATTACTTTTACGTGTGTCAAGGGGTTGCACCCAGTCAATCCCGCTCATGGAGTCCAATAGGAGAACCGAATTTTACTAGCATGAGGGTCTAACGATTATTTTTTAGCCAAAAGTCAGAGTCCTTTTGTAATCGCTCTTTATGGGAGACGAGAGATGGCTCGAGCGATGGCAAGTGCCGATAGTATCCACCCGCTGACAAGGCTCTGATGATTTCCCCTTCCGAGGGTTAATTCGGAGCATGCCGATAGCTGATGTGACTCCTTGGCATATTCCGGTATCTATTGTTTTACTGAAATGAATGAACGAATTGTAGAAGTGGCCTTGCCACCGGCACAGTGAATGCATCGCCACGAAAGATGTGCCTTTTGTCGCTTCATCGCTTTTAGTGATATATCTGTGCTAATAGTGCCTTATTGCCTTTGCAATAGTCGAGCAAAATAGCATTAAAGCGCAAAGAGATTTCAGTTTCATCAAAGGCAATTCAGGAAGGAAATTTCAAGCTGCAGCACATCTTCGGATAATCGGAATTTCGTGAAACTGTCGTTGTTCGGTGGTCCTCCGACCGTTGAAAGACTTGAAAAGACGAATACAGTAATATACCGTCCGAGCCGTGGTGGTGAATCACGGAAAGCGTCGCAACTGAGCAGTTTATCGTCTTCTGGGAAGTACAGGCCCTCTCGTTACATCAGGGTAATTTTCCAGCAATTACTAGCATTCGGCTCCACTCAGCCGCCATTGGGAGACGCTGTTGTTTCGCTGTTAATGCTGTTTCGGGACGTCGCTTGCCGGCACTGCTTGACATAATGCCAGTGAGCGCTAAGCAGTGTTCCTAGAGCGCTACCTGGTGCTAAGTGGCTGGGTGAGGTAAGTGGTAGTTAGGGACAACTCTGTTCGGGGAATGGTGAGTGACGGGTTCCCAGATATGCTCTAGAAACAGGAACTGGGTACAGGATAGAGAGTGGAAAAAGGATACCAGTCAGGAGTTCGAAGCAAAAATTGGAGGCAGCAGTAAGAGAAAGAGGCAACAGAGCGCTACAAATCAAAGTAAATTAAAGCAGACTTGGGCCTATGAATAATAATTGGCCAGCGCACGGGCTGACCGTGCGAAGATGCGTTTTTTGCATAGTTCCCCGCAGTTTTTATTGCTACTGGCACCGGCTTTTTCG